TCTCTGGCCCATGACGGACCACGATGTTTTGCACAGGCACTACACTATAATTCAATAAACTCAGGAACAATGGACTGTATTATATCTCACTTTAATTCTCATTAATTTACATAGTTCATGGCCACTCGAAGCCACGAATTCTCTCACACGCTCTTAGCTCACAATCTCATGTCACAAACTCCAAGAGCTCAAGACGCATGCGCCGACGCTAGTAATGAAATGCGCGCCCAGGCGCAACATTGGTTGGTTGGCAGTGTTGAATGCGCCAATCCTTCTGCATTCGTGTAAATTTTAGTTTTAGAGCTTATCTTATTTAGGATTTTCGTGCGCTCCGATTGGAATTATAACTCACTTAAAAACTAAGGAGTGCTGGAGTCAGGTCCTCTTGGTCTCTGGCGCAATTTAAGTACTAGTCATCATACCAGATTCTCAGCAACCATTGACTTGATGCTTCCATTTGAAGAGAGATCTGGAGAACAGGGCAGGATCTTCATGACAGGAATCGAATATTCTGAGTACTGAAAACAAACACATTGGACATTAAGATGAGCTACAATAAGCATAACTGCTACACAAAGTCTGTTCGACTCCATGCTTCAACTCTATAAGAGCAGATATTACAGTGCTTAAATTATGCGGGAGCCCACCGGAGCCCGGCTCCGGTACTTCTCAATTTTTGAGATAAATTATAATTTTAGCCGAAAGGCACCGGAACCCTAAATAAGACGAGCTCCGGTACTTCTTTTTATAAAACTGAACCACAATTTAAAGGGAAAAAAATTTAGAATTCCTAACGTTTTAGTTTAACAATAAGCAGACCTTGCAATACTCTATTTCCCTAGAACTGTCGCGAACGACGCACGCGCCGCTCTTGGGAAACGGATTGAGCCTCCAGACCGACGAGAACCGAAAACGAAAGTTTGTCTTTTGAGAACTGGCAAGGAATAGTGTATGCTTTTAGAATAATGACGCTTTTAGATATGTAGAACAATGACGCTAAGTAGTTAAAAGTGTTTTTGATGTTGTAATGATTTATATATTGTTCATCTTTTATGTGAAATGTCAAATAAAGTAATTCTAGAAAAATAGTGTCAATTTCAGATGAGTTTTTGAAACAAAATCGGATAGTTTACAAAGCGGCGGACCAGAATCGAAGAACGCGGATCATAAAGGTAAGCAACCTTTCTTCATTTGCTTATCTAGAATTTTGAATGATCTGTTTTTTACTGAATTGAGAATGATATATTTAATGGCGCCCGTTACAGGGACCGCCGAAGTAGACTATATTGAAGTGAAAGATTTAGAAATGTTTGAAAAATAGCTCCTTTTGATTTGAGAAAATTATTTATGGTTTGAGAATACTGATTTGTAATTTGAAATATTTTCTATCTGAAATATTTAAACGTGTCTACTAAAATAGAAGAATTAAAGAAAAGGCGAACTGTAGTTAGGAGTATGACAACAAAGTTGATAAATAATTGTAAAGAATACCTCCAAAAACAGAACATGATTTGTGTATTCTTAATGAAAATATTGATTTATTAGATTCAGAATATAACAGCCTAAAAGAATTAGATAAACAAATACAAGAATTAATTGAGGCTACTGAATATGAATCGGAATTTGAAACTTGTGTAGTTTATTCTGAGAAAATAATTTCCATGAAATCAAAAACTAACATTTATGTTAAAAGAGAAAAGGAAACCTGAAATTCCTGTTTCGAATACAATTGGTAATATTGTGAATGATATTTCAAATATTTCTGTTTCTCAATCAAAAATTAAATTGCCCAAATTATCGATTAATAAATTTAATGGCGATCCTGTTAAATGGTTACCATTTTGGAACCAGTTTGACAATGCGATACATCAGAATAGTGATTTAACAGATACAGACAAATTTAAGGTAAAAGTTTACAATTGGGTTCCCCTTGTTTATTGGCGATTCTTTTTGACGCCAAGATTGGCGCCAGGAAGGTACAATTTCAAGATGGCCGCTACACAAAACCAAAATAAAAAGTCAAAGAATTGCACAAACTCTTTGTCCATGTACACATCGATCTAATTTCACTTAAAGAAAAATCCCAGAATTGCACAAACGAGGCATTGTGCACTGCCTTAAATTTGTCCATGTACACATCAATCTATTTTCATTAAAAAAAAATCAGGAAGCTAAAACAACGTTAAAACTATCATGGTAACCAGAAATGAGGTTTCATCGCCAAAATTAAAATATATATATATATATATCGCTAATCGAAGGGGCACCCGATTCTACACTACAGCCAAATTTAATTATTTGATTTCATTTTTATCAGGTGCTGCTTGTAATGATGCTAGTGGTTTTGCATTATCAGGTGAAAATTATCTTGCCTCAGTCGAATTACTTAAAACATGCTTTGGTCGAACAGATTTAATTATAAATGCACATATGGGAAAATTGTTAAATTTAGAAGCTGTTAGGAATGCTAACAACATATTTGCATTACGTAAGTTGTATGATGATATCGAAATACAGATAAGAAGTTTGAAATCACTTAATGTAACTTCTGGCACATATAGCACGTTATTGACACCAGTTTTATTAAAATTAATTCCGAATGAATTGAATCTCGATTTCCAAAGAAAAAGGAAATAAAGATAATTTCGATGTACGCGAATTATTATAGTTCTTAAAAACAGAAATTGAATGCCGCGAATCTATGCTTCAAATTCAAGATAAAATAAACAACCATAATTCGAGCCACTTTCCTAAAGAAAAAAGAATAAATAAAATTTCTATTTCAACAGCTGCTGTGTTAATGGTTTCAATTAACAGCTGCCTATTTTGCGAGGATTCAGAAAAACATACTTCCGATGCTTGCCCGAAGTCTGTAGCAGACAGAAAGGCGTCATTTTGAAAATTCGGAATATGTTATTTGTGCCTTAAAAGGGGTAACCATTTGGCAAAAAATTGCTTTTCGAAGATAAAGTATGATCCATGCGGTGGGAAACACAATAGTGACACAATTAATGTGTGACAGAAATGGTTCAGATGAGAAAAAATCAAATAAGAAGGATCTCAATTTAACAAACAAAACATGTTTAGAGAAAGTTTTATTACAAACTTTAGTAGTAAACTTGCGTGGAAATGGCCAGAAAAATACTGCCGGTGTTTAATTGATTCTGGGAGTCAACAATTGTAGCTATGTATCTAAATTTTTAGCTAATGCTATGTAGCACGAATGTGTTAACGAAAGCAGTGTGATTCTTAGTCTGTTCGAAGGAACCGAAGTGGTTGAAACTCATAAACAGTTCATTGTACGCTTAAGTAGTATTTCGAACGATTATCAGTGTAACTTTAAAGCTTTTGATCAAGCGAAAATTTGTTCTGATATTCCACAATTGAACATCAAGCCTTATTTAAATAAGTTAAAAACCCATAACATATTTTTGAATGATCTTGAAGGTAGGAATAAAAAACTGTTTTTTGAGCATTCTGAAATTCATATCCTCATAGGAGCGGACATAGCGGGAAAATTGCTTACAGGGAAAATAAAGAAGTTAGAATGTGTATTAGTTTGCATTCAAACTTATTTAGGCTGGTGTATCATGGGGAAAATTCCTATAGAAATGGAAAATAAATATGATTGTTCTTATACATTTTCTATGTTAGTATCAGATAGTAAAATTTCTTATTTATGGAAACTTGATACTCTTGGGATATTAGATCCTTCAGAGAGTCAAACTAAAAGGAAATTAGAAAAACAAACAACGACACATTTTCTTTCCATTGTGAAAAGAGATGAAGAGGGAAGGTTTCAAGTTTGTTTACCTTGGATTGAAAATCATTCCCCACTTCCAAACTATCGGGAAATAGCATAAAAAAGATTAAAGAGCACTGTGAAGAATTTAAAGGATGGGGGATTTTTAGAAGATGATGCAATTTTTAAATCTTGGGATGATGAGAAAATAATAGAGATTGTTTCTGAGGAAGAATTTAATAACCCCTCTCATTATTTACCTAACCGTGCTGTTATTCGAATGAATTCCACCACGACAAAAATAAGAACGGTTTTCTATAGATCTGTAAGAACTAAAGGATCACCTTCTATAAATGACTGTTTGGAAAAGGGTCCAAATTTTATTGACACTGTTCCAGCTATAATAAATAGATTTCGACTGGGAGAAATTGGCGTGAGCGCTGATATTGAGAAGGCTTTCTGCAGATAGCACTTAGTCCTAAACACAGAGATTATTTAAGATTTTTATGGTGGGAACAGGGAAATTCTGAGCGTTTGAAAATATACAGGCACAGACAAGTGGTCTTTGGAATAACCAACAGTCCATTTCTCTTAAATGCAACGCTAATGAAATTAATGAATGAAGTACCAGAAAATTATCGTGCGAGTGCTAATAAATTAGTAGAATCCTGGTACGTTGATAATTTAGTTACAAGTATGAATGATGAATAAGAATTAAAGAAGTTAAAAAATGATACCACTGAAATTTTGTCAAGTGCTAAATTTGAATTACAAGAGTGGGCATATAACTATCCACGAAATGAAAAGGATGCCTTTGTTGTCGAACCTATTTTAGAACAGTCAAAGCTTGATAAATTAAATGAGAATGAGTTTTTAGATGACCCTTGCGAAGCTAAAACGGTCAGCATTTTGGGACTTCTTTGGGATTTGCATGATGACACATTAAGTTGTGATATTAAGGCATTAAATGAATCGAAAAATAAACTTGTTACTAAAAGAACAATTTTGTCTGAAATTCATAAAATTTATGACCCTATTGGATTCACCTGCCCTATAATTTTGATTCCTAAAATTATGTTACAAAACTGCTGGGAATTAAAAGTAACTTGGTATGAAGCTCTTCCTGAAGAAATTCAAAGGAAATACGTGAAATGGAAAAATGATGCAAATCGTTTAACAGAAATAAAAATCCCCCTACAGATGATGCTTAATATTGATTCTGAATTGAAATTAATCTTTCAAATATTTTGTGATGCATCCCAAATGGCATATGCAACCTGCATTTATTTAAGAAATGAAAATGAAACTAAAGTTTCTTGTCATTTAGTTCAAGCACGATCTAGAGTTTCTCCTCTAAAACCCACATCAATTTGTATACTAGAATTATTAGCTTGTGTTGTTGGTGCAAGATTAATGAAATCTATAAAACAAGATTTGAAGTAAGAAAATATACCTACGTTTTATTGGGCAGATTCAAGGAACTTATTGTACTGGATTGAGAATGAAGAAAATTGGGGTGTACTTTTTATGAACAGAGTGAAAGAAATACGAGCTCTTACTAATCATGATACATGGAATTATGTTCCTGGAAACTTGAATCCTGCGGATATTCCGTCAAGAGGATGTTCTGTTGAAACTATTAAAGCCCAAAGATGGCATGAAGGTCCAGCATGGTTGAAGTTGAATCCAGACTGTTGGCCTACTTGTGATATTTCTCCTGACAAAAATATGATTGATCGAGAAAAAAGAAAGACAGTTGTATCCTCGTTAACAAATGTAGATGAAGAATTTTCGCATTTCTCACGAATTTCTTCTTTTGAGAAAATAATTAGAGTCACAGCCTGCATAAAAAGATATATTGACAACTGAAGAGATAAAAACAGAACGTCAAAGAACTTAGAAATCGAAGAATTGAATGCAGCTGAAGTCCTTGTTTGGAAAATTGTGCAAAGGGTCTCCTTTGAAACAGAAAAGGATAAACGCTTACGACGTTTAAAACCCTTTGTTGATTCATCTGGTCTTTTAAGAGTAAAGTCCAGAATATTAATGAGGCAAGACTTCGAAAATTTTAAAAACACCTGTAATCCTACCTGCTGAACATCCATTTGTCTCTAAACTGATTATAGAAAAACATGAACAACAAATGCATTGCGGAACTCAGACTTTAATGGCAATGCTACGAGAAAATTTCTGGATTTTGAAAAGTCGTAAAACTATTCGTAAAGTGTTGAAAAACTGCACTAAATGTAGAAGATTTGATTCGAGGCCCACCACGGTACAATCCGCACCTTTGCCAAAAGACCGTGTTAAAGATTCTTCTGTTTTTGAAGTGACAGGTATCAACTTAGCGGGCTCTTTGTTTTTAAAAAATGGGTCGAAAACGTGGATCGTTTTATTTACATATGGCCGTATACAGGGCAATTCATCCTGAACTTTTAATGTCTTTGTCAACAGATAACTTTTTATTGGCTTTCTGGCGTTTTATAGCTCGCCGACGAAGACTTGAAATTGTCTACACTGATAACGGTAGTAATTTTGTTGGTACAAATTCGCTCTTAAAAATGATTGACTGGGATAAAATTATTAAGAATCATGTTGTCAACCGAATTAAATGGAAATTTATCCCACCAGCTTCTCCCTGGTGGGGTGGATTTTGGGAAAGAATGATTGGCCTGATGAAAAACATTCTCAGAAAAGTTTTAGGGAATGCCTCATTGAAATATGAATAACTCTCTATGCGAAAATATCTTAAATTGCAGACCATTAACTTATATTTCCGAGGACTTGGAACTGGAACCCTTGACACATGCAATGTTTTTTCGTGATCTAAAAGAAAGTGGCGTTCCAGATTTAGACATTATTGATGCCAAATACTTACAAAAAAAGGTATGCATACCAGATGAAGGTCAGAGAAAGTCTAAGAAAACGGTTCAGAACTGAATAGGACAAACTGAAAAACCATATTTTTAAAAACAGAGAAAATGTTTAAAAAAACACTGTTTGAGAGTAAAGAAAAGCATTCTGATCAAACAACTTGTGATAAGCCTACAACTTCTATTGGATCTACAGATTTTCGTGCACTGACAAAGACTGACTGACAAAGATCAGTCAGATGAACTCAATCAGATGTGGACGAGTGATTCGAACCCCTGAACAATTAGACTTCATGAACTTTCAACCAGACTGTGGCTGAGTTTCAACTTGGTGAAACTCATCGGGGGGGGGATGTGTCGCGAACGACGCACGCTCCGCTCTTGGGGAACGGATCGAGCCTCCAGACCGACAAGAATAGAAAAAGAAAGTTTTTCTTTTGAGAACTGGCAACGAATAGTGTATGCCTTTAGAGTAATGACGCTTTTAGATATGTAGAACAATGACGCTAAGTAGTTAAAAGTGTTTTTGATGTAGTAATGATTTAGATATTGTTCATCATTTGTGTGAAATGTCAAATAAAGTAATTTTAGCAAAATAGTGTCAATTTTAGATGAGTTTTTGAAACAAAATCGGATAGTCTTACAAAGCGGCGGACCAGAATCGAAGAATGCGGATCATAAAGGTAAGCAACCTTTCTTCATTTGCTTATCTAGAATTTTGAATGATCTGTTTTTTACTGAATTGAGAATGATAAAAAATACGAATTCATGAGAACACGAGTCGTTCAAGTAAAGTCCCCTCACTCACATACGAAACCTTCCTCTTTAAGAAGGGCAATAAATTTGGGGAAGTTTAGGAACGCGTAAATTTCTCGTCATGCCATCGTATCTAGTGTATTGTTATCGATGCTTACAGTTAGTTACCCTCGCAGGAAGGAAAATTTGTGTTCTTAAATGTGCGTCAAGTGACAGCGAGTACAATAAGAGTGAAATACGGAGATAAACTGCTCAAGCATGCCCTATACAACATCTTCCCACAGTATCCACTAATGAGGGGGAAGCGTAACCAGCAACTTTACATTCATCCTTAGGAGTCAGATTTAGGACTCATTTTACTCTTGACACACACCTGCTTGATGGCTATAATTAAATCAGTAGTTAAAGAGAACGTTCTCTGTCACCAAAATTCCCTCATTTTTTGTTTCCACCCACTCATACTGTCATTCTGTTTCGCCCTGGAATTTTCATCAGCTATATTTTAAGCATATTTAATTTTCGTAATGACAAAAGAATTCCCCACCCCCTACGATCAGAACTTAAATTGGGCCGGAGCCCATCGAATCTCGGCTCCGGTGCTCCTTAGTTTGTGTAATAAATCATAATTCTAGTCGGAACGCACCGGAGCCCTGAATAACAAGGTTGCGGCACTCTTTTATGTAACTGAATAACAATTTCAGTAGAAATTTTAATTAACAATAAAATTATATTAAAAATCGCTTATTAAATTTCAATTTATCTCTTTACGTTTTATTTAATTTTAATTATTTAATTAATTCATCTTTAATTATTTCAATAAAAATAAGTATTATCTAACAATTATAATTAAATTATAATTAATTAATTATAAACAATTTTGATTAAATAACAATTTATAAACATTAATTAAATAGCTAATTCAGAAGTCAAAAAAACAAAAATCAGCTGATTTTGTTGTTGACTTCTGAATTAGAATTATTTATTCGGCGTGTTTATTGTGTCTTTAATTAATTAATAGCTATTAAAATTTTTGATGATAATTAACTATTTAATTTTAAAATTATTAATGAGTTTAATAGTCATTTTATTTATTTATTTGCTCTTGTTCCTCTTTGCTGACGGTCTTCCATAGGGCTCCGGTACTTCTAATATTAGAAATTAAGGCCTGAGATATTATACTAGAGGGCTACGCTCGGATACTGATTTCTACATGCTCTGTCTTTGCTTGAAATTCAGTTCTTTTATCCTTCTATTATAATGTATTTTTGAAAGAAATATTATGCTGCCAATGTTTATATATAAAATGAGCATAAAGGTTTTACAGCGTGTGGTGACATCTAGTGAAAAAATTAAATAAAAGCTACACTCTTACATTAGAGTGTCTAATTTAGAGGTCAAAGAATTAATTAAAGTGTCTATTTTTGAATCTACGATGTTAAGAGAGATATTTTACAGATTAAATTATTTTAATAAAGTGAAAAATGATCTTAAATGAATTGAACTAAAATAGCTGAATAAATAACATTTCTCCGCACTAGTTCTCGTCACATTACTTTAATTCATTAATGGCGTGGTATGTGCTGCCATCTCTTGACGAAACGTGTTAGACTTTCTACAGATGTTAGATTGAATTTTTAGATCATGAACAAATAAATTAACAAAATATCCTCTGTAACCTCTGAAATCTCTGTAAGAACTAAAATTTAATTCAAAATATTCCTTTCACAGATAATTAAAAAAAAAAAAAAAAGCTCCGGATCTTGAGAAATGACTGTAAAAATCATACATAAAAATACTTTTGGGTCGAATTGCAACATTTCTTTCATTCTTTCTTTTTGTCATGTACTGCTTAAGTCAACTTCGAAAGACAAGTTGAAAGCGCTCGAAAAGATTCCGTAATGAGAAACTAAATTATTAATTTTAAGCAAAAGTGTACTAAAAATTATTATTCGAAATTGTAATATATTTAATAAAGAAAAATTCATGTTGAAATTATTACTAATATTAATGATGAAGATATAATACATAAAAATCTAAGATACTAATATATCAAGTTTCTAACTTGTATAAGTCAACTTCAACTAAGTATAAGTCAAACTAAGATAAGATATAGAAGAAAGAAGAATAAAAAAATTAATTTCTTGATTTCGCATGTTTATATTTATATACATTTAGAAGCACAAAATCACATGATTCTGCAGAAATTATAGTGTGTCCCCTTGTAAAATAATAATAAATGGGTTTATTCGCATTATAATTTAGGGAGCTTTAATAGGAAAAATTCATGACATTAGTATCAACTCTTAAACATAAATAATATTTTACAGATGTCATCATTTGATTTAAAGGAGGGGAATCATTTGATGCTCTAAATTCATAATAAAATTGATCTATCAGCTTTGTTGGTCTTTTCTAAGACCTTAATTTTGTTGAATTTAAATTTCCCTCCGAAAGTAAGCAGTTCCAAAAATTTACAGTTTCCTTTAAAAGATACTAAATTTCTTTAAGACCACCGTTTTGGAACGCAGATGACAACCTACTGAGCGAATATGACTCAGTTTAAATGATCAATACTTTTATGGAGACATATTTTTATCCTAAAAGGGCTTTTATCTGGAGACACGATTTTGTTTCGATTCACTTTAAATGTCGTCCACTCGAAATGCATTTCATTTCATTCCATCTGCTCCATTCGCAAAATGTAAGATATTTATTTATCTTTCAATTTATCGTTTTTGATTACCAAATTACCTAGATGAGTTCCTAAATATTACATGTTCTTTGAATCGGTGATTTAAATAAATTCATTAATCTGATATATCTAAATTAAAACATAATAATTTTAGAATTAAGTTATATTTTTTCACGTTTCAGATAAAGAAGAGATATATAATGTGCCGGTATTAAACTAAATGTATACAATTAAAAAAAAAAAAAAAAAAAAAGTCTTCATTTCGAATTCGCAGCGTCTTACTGTCTCGCAGCGCACTTAATATATAGTTCTAACATATATATTTTTGACATAAAACCGAACTTTTTCTGAAATCGCATGCCAATTTTTTCCCACATTTCGATTTAAATTGTGTCTAAAATCGAATTTTGTAAAACTGGGTGAGATTCTTACCGAAT